AGCCAAGTAGCTGTTGAGCAGTTCTGGCTTCTTTGCATTTTCTGTTACATTTTACCCTGTTTATTTTGTAGTCAATCCTTGGCTTTCTTCATCTTTCTTTTCTGGCCAACATACTTACAGAACCTCTTCTTCTTGTCTGTAATTTTAACTTCTGTTTCCAGTTGCAGCTCATTTTTTACCTTTGTTCTTCTGATTTTGTCCCTGCAAGTTCTCGCTATTTCCTGATAAGCTTCCTTAGTGATCTGTCCATCTTTCCAGTGCCTAATTATTCCCTTCTGCATTTGAGGCATCCTAGAAGCTCCTTGTGTAGTCACATTGGTCTCTTACCATTGTTGTTCTTCCACTGGATCAAAACAGTTTCTTGTTGTGCTTCCAATACAGTGCCATTGTGTTAAATAATTAAGTCATAAATTGGGCTAGAGTGTGGGTTAAGAATGACTATCGTGTAGTAGTTAGGAGCCTTACTTGGGCAGTGAGAAACCTGGGGGTCCAATCTCTGCAATTATGTAAAGTGAGGAATTCTTGTACAAGGCTCTTCACAGAGAAAAAGTTCCCAGTTAGCTACTTATCTTGAAAGCCAATAATGATGAGAAGATGTATTATGCAAAGATGTGGTTAATATCAATATGTAAAGTACTGTATGTCAAAAAACCCCAGACCTCTTTCCCTGAAATCCAAAATGACACAGCAAGAGAAAAATCAAATTAAGTTTATTGGCATTTACAAATGTAATAGAACATAAATGCTGGAATAAATTACAAAAATACATCTGAAATATTTTCTAAAAATTTGTACAAGCTAAGAGTTAAGCCCATGCTGTGCAACAGCTGTTTTAACGCGATGGTGAGTCTCAACACTTCACAGGAAGCGCAATGGAAAACTCTTGTGCTGAAGTCGTATTTGAAATTTTGGTAAGATGCTCACATTTGAAAAGGTTTCTTGACTTAAGTGCAACACATCCAATAGTTGGTGTAAACCAACTGACATTAACCAGCAAGAGTTTACTTCTATTAGACATGTTGCTTTGGGGTCAGCGTCAAACAAGTCAGCATTCAGACTGGCAAACTGGGTTGCTGTAAGATAGAAGAAAGAGATGGGATTATAAATAGCTTGTGTTCTGTGGGGTTACTTGCATTTCTAATTTGTTTGTGTCACTCCTTCCTGTGGGTAAGTGCTCAGAAAAGAAGTCCCACAATGGTTAAGAATATGGTATGCTGTGTAAACAAATGCTGTTTCAAAACACGACAATTCCTGTAGACCTGCTGTTCTTGGCTCTTTCTAAGATCAAAAATCATCCAGGTACAAGAACAGAGTCATTTGATTCCTGAAAAACAAGATCTCCCTGAGCTCTAGACATGGTTCATGTTTAGCAGTAAATAACAGAGCTCTTGTTTTGGGGCACGTCTAAGGTCCTGCCCCTTATCCTTTCCAGGAAAGAAGTGGCAGGTTTGTGCCAGAGTGTGTTTACTGCGAATTGTTCAGACTGTACATGGGGTGGGCAGCTGTAGCAAAACAGGAAACTGTGTGTGTGCTGTTTAGAAACCTTTTGTGGGAAGAGTAATTTGCAACTTTGAAATGCTTACATAGCCACTGTGTGTCTGTTCACACTTTTGAAGTAGCCATTCAATGTTTCACTAAAGGTATTTGAGCTGGGACAGCTGTCTAGAATTAGGCAGAAGGCAGAGTAGACCTTACAAACTAAATCAGAGATATATAAGCTGGACAGAGAGACGCAGTTCACTTCACTAATTCAGAGATATATAAGCTTTAGTTCGTTTATAAGATACAACTCTACCCTGCCTTCTGTCTGACTTTAGACTAACACGGCAAACTGCCTCTCTGTTTAGCAGTCTGAATTAGTAAAGCATTACACACTTAAAACTTGTTTAGAAAAATAAATTACCTTTTTCTTGATTTATTTCAGCCCTTTTTCCTACAGCTATTTTGACATTAAAAGGCAAAAAAAATCTGATTTTTATTCAAGCTTAAAAGTTAACTAGAACTCAAGAGCTGCTTCTACAATTCATTGTTTAAATCTGAAGCACGTCAAATGAAGCAAGAGAAATGCTGGTCTTTAAGAAGAGGTGGTCTATTTAAGCAAGTTGATAACTGGTGCTTCCTTTTGGGAAGTATGTGCAGTGAGAGCAGTCAATGATCAGGGTAAGCAGCGGGAGGCAAAAGTAAGGCAGGAGTTGGATTCCTCTTAGAGCAGTTCCAGGAACCAACCCAAACAACAGTGGGCTGAGTCCACAAAAGGACTTCGGTGCTTAGTGTCCAACAATTAGGCACCACTGAGATCCTCAGCTCCCTGGATAATTAATCCTGCATACACCTATAATCACTAGGTGCCCACATTTCTACTAGTAAAGGCCCCTTGGTGCTGAATTTCTGTTGGTGGGCAGAACTGCCTACACCTGCCTAAGTCCTGATGCTGATGAGCACTTAGGGCATGCCTTAGCCCAGTGAATTCAAATGCTAAGCTTTCCCCTACCAGCAGGACTTAAAGAATTGGGCCTTGCACAAAATACAGCTTGGGGCATGATGCTTCTTTTCTAAATTATAGACTAGCTAGATGTAGGAAACCTGGGTGCCTACAGATGTAGGATTGGAGCCTACCTCTCCTACTTTAGATACCTAAACCTGGCTACAAGATATTTTGGGCTGGAGGAGACTCTCTTAGTCTGTTCTACTTCATCTACATACATAGTTAGATGCTAATTATGCAGGAAAATGCCTCTAGAAAGAGAAGGTGACCAGAAAGAGAAGACCTAGGTACCAGTTTCCATTCCAACAAGTTTGTAAGTACTTATGCAAAGTAGAATAGCTTCAACCTAAAGGTAAATGTCCCACCCCAAAATGCCTTCTACCCTAGCTGTTGGAGACTCATGGGGCTGTGTGGATTCAAGTCCTTTCAAGAAGTGATTTGAGCCCGTATCTTTGGCATTCCAAGCGAGTGCTGTAATCGCTAGGTCATTGTTTCCGGGGGGGGATGACCACCATTTTCTCCTTTCTGTATTTGGTGAAAAAAGGCCCGATCAGATTTAGATGTTCAACTCACAGAACAGGAGTGACTCCCATGGGCAGGAGGTACATCCCTGCAGCCCAGGTTTAGATGCCAAACCATGATGGGGCAGGGCTGTTTCTCAGCATTTTCTGCTGGCTAGTTTATCTAGCTATCTGTTCATGTACTCATGTGTGTCGATCATATTCTTGGGTGTCCAGTGCTGGCCAGAAATTAGACACTTAGAGAGCTTGGATGTCTAACTTGTGGCCGTGAATTCCACTAGGTGGCAGGGCAACTCAAAGCTAAGTCCTGTGGAGAATGTCTCACACAGTTCCAACTAAATTATTGTCTAATATAGTTTGTCTAGATCTGGTCAGTGTTAAGAATAATTCCCCCTAATCTCTTTGCAATCACCTTCCTTCACCTGCTAAAAAAATCATAAAGAACCAAAAGGGGCAACAAGTTATGGAGGGCCAGTGCACCCGACATATGTCTGGTTGATCTTTTCAGCTACAGATTCCTGATAGGGTTGCTTTGTAAAGCACACAGCTTGTATATGGCTAAATGCAGATCAGTAACCAGATCTGTGTGGTTAAGACAGACTTGGATCAAGGTATTTTTCTGTTGGAAAAGTAGCAGAGGAGGAAGCTCAAGTGCTCAGTACAATAAACAACAAATGAGATGAGCGAGGGAAAAATTAGGTTCATTAGGGTGGAAATCTGCCCACTGGGTCCATTAGACTGCCTCATAGACACCCCACGCCAAAGTCACTGGAAGCCCCACTGCCTGTGCGTTCAAACTAGACAGTAAAAAAACACTAGTACATGGACACTGGCAGGGAATGGATTAAGCGGTGTTTCTCTATCTCCAGATTAATTAGCCTCACTAATTCTGTAGCAGATGGGTTTTCACTGGAGGTCTCTCCTATGGCAACTCAGTCTGACCCACTTGGAAGAAAACAGCCAGAGAAGTGGTGGCTGTAGGTCTTTTGTTAACAAACTTATGGACTCAAACCACCTTTCTCTAAGATAACATAAAAAGACTAATTTGCCTTTAAGAAAACAGTACATGTGTACTAGTTCCTGGAGACTTGCTGCAAATTCTTGACCAAGCTAGTGAACAACCGCAAAATCCCAGGTATGGAAAGATCCCCATCCTTGAAGTTATATTCTCCATGGCCCATAGGAATGCTGAAGTAGTATCTGAGGAATGAAAGGAAGTCAAGAGGAGTAGAGAGTAACTAAGCTCTAGTTTGAAAGAGGGCAACTGGTTGGTAGGCTATTTTTATAACATAAAATAGGACAAGTGTACCAAAGGAAAAGCTAGAGAGTTTGGAGTGGAAGATGCTGAGCACTGGGAGGGAGAAGCCTCCTGCTAGGGATTCACGAGAGCTCTTATGGGGAAGAGAAGGGCAGGACAGAGCATCTGACAGGCCTAGCTGGAGATAATCCCTCAGGTACATATGCTATCAGCTAGTCTGCTCTTCATTTCACTGGCTCAGCTGGCCAGCAGTTCCTTCAGGCAGCCAGTCTGCAGGGGGATTACATAAACTGGGACAAAACACTTGTTTTTGTAAAACTGTCAGGCACTGAGCTGGATCTGGAAAGCAGGGAGACTCCTAGCTTTGAGCGACATGAGCAAACTACAGCAGACTATATATTCTTATTCAGGAAATCGTTAGCTCCAAGACCAGTTATGCGCTCTAAACAGAATCCCAATGATATCTGGGAGAGAACAAAACTAGTATTATTGCTGGTTCTCCTGATTTTGGAGCAATGAGAGTTTAGACCATAAGCCAGATATGGAAAGCTAAGATGCTAACTTCTATAATTAGGCACCTGCTTGAATGGCCTTTGAAAAGTACATATAGCTCCTTGAAATCAGGCCACTAATGCAGGTGCCTAAATATGGACTTTAGACCTTAATTTGTAGATTTTACTTTTGAATCAAGTTTGGATACATCTGAACCCAGGGAAATGGCTTGATTAAGGGGTGTTTGCATGGCCTGGGGTTATGCAGCAAATCAAACCAGATTATCACAGCAGTCCCTTCTGCCTTAAAACACATGAAGTGATTTAAGGTCCATTCCCAGCCTGAGCCAAGGCTGGGAATGGACCTTTCAAGTGACTGACAAGATTTTTTCCCTCGTTTTTCAAACTCACTTCTGGGAGAGAGACATTTTTAGAAGTGGAGCAAATGTAAAAGCTACAGGTCTGAGAGAGAGTGGAAGGACTGTTACTAAAGAAACAAAATCTGTGTGTGTGTCGAGGGAGCACTTGGCAGGGGCAGGTCTTTGTTCTTTCAGGTTTTCTTCAAATC